AAAGAAAGAAAGAAAGAAAGAAAGAAAGAAAGAAAGAAAGAAAGAAAAAGGAAGGAAGGAAGGAAGGAAGGAAGGAAGAAAGGAAAAGAAAACATGGGAGGCAAGCACAGGGGAGAGAATGAAGCTGGGGGGAAGGCTTGGGCCTCAGCTTGGGTGGGAGATGGGCTCAGGCCTGGAGCCAGAGGCCAGGCCCTGACAGCCTCTCTGGGGACAGTTCCGTCGGACAGCACTGCACCGAGCCTCCCTGGAAGGCCATGTGGAAATCCTGGAGAAGCTTCTGGATAGTGGGGCCACTGTGGACTTCCAGGATCGGGTGAGTGAGAGGGCAGGTATTCAGCGGGAGACAGGAGGTGGGTCCAGCACCAACAGACACCCTCTCCCTGCCCCCTGTGCCAACCTGAAGCACAAGCAGGTTGCTGAGGGGCCAGATTCCACCTCAGTGGCTTGTGTGACCTCGAGGAAGCCCCTTCTCCTCCCTAAGCATCCTCTGTGAGTCTGGCTTGGATTGGATGGGCCCTGAGTGTTTTTCTGTTCCACTTGGTCCATTGCCCAGGCCCAGGCTGCTCCCTGTACCTTTCCCCTAGACATCCCTCTGTCCTCCTGGCTGGAGCCCATTCCCCCCCGGATACTTTCTTCTCTGCAGCGCTGTAGTTAGATCCCATCATTTCCTTCTAGCTGGACTGCACAGCCATGCATTGGGCCTGCCGTGGTGGCCACTTAGAGGTGGTGAAACTTCTGCAAAGCCGAGGAGCAGATACCAATATGAGGGATAAGGTGAGGCAACAATGCTCAGAAGCAACAGATATTGGGGTGGCTGTTGGGAGGAAAGCAGGGGTCCGAGGGCAGGAAAGCCCAGGGGGGCAGGAAGGTAGCGAGCTAGTCTGGTTTCTGGCTGCAGAACAGGGAAGCGAAGACAGTGTCCTACGGGGCCTCCCAGCCCCGGGATAGGTCCCTGCCATCCGCACAGGCCCTTGATGAACCACCATCTGGGGATGGAAGCAGGAAGAGTGGACAGGAAGGGAGGACAAGAGACTCACTGTCTTGGGGGCTTCGGGACCACTCAAAAGATGCAAGATTTGTTCATGTTATCCATCATTATCCTTCTATCTAGCTCTCTATTCATCCATCCATTTTTCCATTTATTCATCCACTCATTCATTTATTTATTCATGCACCATCCTTCTATTCACTTATTCTTTCATGTACAACCTTGAACAACTGACAGCCTCTGAGCTTTTGTTCCTCATCTGTAAAATGTCTTGCAGAGTTCTTGTGTAGATTAGGTGAGAAAAAATATGTAAATAAATTATTTATTCAACATAAGGCAAATGTCTTGTTTTTGGTTTGTTTGTTTGTTTGTTTTCTGAGACGGAGTCTTGCTCGGTCACCCAGGCTGGAGTGCAATGGTGTGATCTCAGCTCACTGAAACCTCTGCCTCCTGGGTTCAAGTGATTCTCCTGCCTCAGCCTCCTGAGTAGGTGGGATTACAGGCGTGTGCCACCACGCCCAGCTAATTTTTGTATTTTTAGAAGAGACGGGGTTTCACCATGTTGGTCAGGCTGGTCTTGAACTCCTGACCTCAGGTGATCCACGCACCTCGGCCTCCCAAAGAGCTAGGATTACAGGCGTGAGCCACTGTGCCCAGCAAGGCAAATACCCTGTAAGCTTTTGCCATGTCTATCCCATAGTCATCTCTCAATAAATAACATCTATTATGATTATTAAAAGAAGGGTAGACGAGTGAGCAGCTGAGTGAGAGGAGAATCATAGAAGGCTTCCTGGAGGAAGTGCCATTTAAGGCTTTAGAGTTAGCCCATTGGATGGGATGGTAGGAAATTATACCATTCTCTGCCCCTCCAGGGCTCAGGCCTTGGCACTAGGACTTGGAAGAGGGATTAAGCTGGAGTTAGAACAGCCCCGCCTCCCCAGGGGTACCACAGTTCAGGCCCTGTCAACCAGCAGTTCCTGATTCCTCCCACCCAGCTGCTGAGCACCCCCCTGCATGTGGCAGTCCGGACAGGGCGCGTGGAGATTGTGGAGCACTTTCTATCCCTGGGCCTGGACATCAATGCCAGAGACAGAGTGAGTGTCAGCCTGCCTGCTGCTCACCCCGCCGTGGGCATGCGGGCAGCCTGCAGACTCCTGCAGGTGGTGTCCTTACTCCTGGGGCCTTCAGGACTTGGCTCCTGAGCAGGGTCTCTAGACCACCTACCATCACCCTGCCCCCTCCCACTGCCCACAAGGTCCATACTGAATGCCACACTGACTCTAGGAAGGAGACACTGCCCTGCATGACGCTGTGAGACTCAACCGCTACAAAATCATCAAACTGCTGCTCCTGCATGGAGCTGACATGATGACCAAGAACCTGGTAAGCTCATTCCCTCCCTGATTCAGTCGTGGGTGTGAGCATTCACATAGTGGGAGGGGCTGTCCAAGCCCTTGGGGGACCCCCAACTAGGGGCAGGTATCATTGGCTCTGGCCAGTACCATAGCACATAAAGTTGTCCTCTTCCAGAGCACCACTCCAACTGCCCGCCCCACTCTATGTGTGTCTCTATGTCCAGAGGGCAAGTGCAGAGAGACAGTAGGAGGGGCAGCAAGAGGCCTTCCCAAAGACGTCCCAAAGACCCCAAGAGGCCTTCCCAAAGAGGGGGTGCTCACATGCAGGCCCAAGAAGGCCAGAATCATGAAGAGCTGGAAGGGTCTGAGCACTCGGCTGGCATGACAATTCCTAGCACACCATGTCAGCTCCTGCGGGCCTTTAAGTTTTCTTAGAATCTAGGCAGGAAGTCCTTGGAAGGAGAAGGTGCCCAGGGAACACCTTGGACTAGGGGACACTTTGTCCCAGTTCTTCTTTGGGGCCCAGAGCATTCACAAAAGGAGGGCATGGGAGAGTCCCTCGGGCTCAAGAAAGGCTAAGGGGATAATGAGAAAAGCAGGAAGATATGGAGAAGGTAGAAATGAGGGTTTTTCAACCCCAGCATTATTGACATTGCAGGCTGGGTGATTTCTTTTTGTAGGAGACTATTCTATGCATTGTAGGATGTTTAAGCAGCATGCTTGGCCTCTGCCCACTAGATGCCAGTAGTGCCCATCCCCCAGGGTGACAACCAAAAGTGTCTTCACACATTGCCGGTTGCCCCCATATGAGAAGCACTGTGGTGTAGATGAGGGTACCTCCTGGGAAAGCCTTCAGGACAGTGAATAGATTTTCTCTTGGCCCCTGCAGGCAGGAAAGACCCCCACGGACCTGGTGCAGCTGTGGCAGACTGATACCCGGCACGCCCTGGAGCATCCTGAGCCGGGGGCTGAGCATAACGGGCTGGAGGGGCCTGATGAGAGTGGGCGGGAGACCCCCCAGCCCGTGCCAGCCCAGTGAACCCCTGCCCCAGCCCAGCCAGCTACCTGGCCCCTCCCTGTGTGCAGCCAGAGGATCCTAAGAATGTCTCCCAGAGCTCACCGAGGGCCCAGCCTTTCCTCTGCGTGGTGCAGGAGCACCCACAAACTACCACAATAAAAAGGCTGTTTTTGCTAATTGTGATGTTCATTTCCATTTGTGTCTGAAATATTTAGGAAGGAAGAAAGACTGGGCCACATGTAGGCTTGGGGAGGAGGGAAACTGGGAGCCAGTTGGGCCTCGAAGCCAGCCCTGCAGCTTCCCTGCCGCGGTCTCTTTTCGTTTCTTCCCTGTCACTCAATTTTTCCTGCCCTGTCCCATGTCTCTGGGGCCAGGCTTGGCCCCTGCATGGATTGACTTGGTGATACACTCATCCTGGTCCCCCTTCCTGGTGACTGCTGTCCTGTGGGGCTGTGTGTGGCTAGCACAGGCTTGTCGTGTGGCTGTCTTGGCAGGAGGAGCCTGGCAGGGGACTGGGGCAGGGGAGGGACAGCCTGTCACAGGCAGCTTCTTACCCAGCCTTGCCACACCTCCCACAGGGCAGGGCCTGCTCAGCCAATCAGCTCCACCAGCCTCAGAACTGCCTGTGGAAACCTGGCGGTGCTTCCGGCTTTGGGGCTGGGAATGGTGGGAGGAGGGCCCAGATCCCACTGGAGATACCCTTTAATATTCGGGTCCCAGAAACCAGTCCTACATCTGGCCAGAGGGACACTGTTTTGTGGCATTTCTCCGGCTACTACCCAGAAGGAAGAGGGCCCCCTGGGGTCTATGTGCCTTGCCCGTGACCCTGGGGACACTCAGCTCAGGCCTGCCCCAGTGGCCACAAGTCAGGGAGGCCGCAAATTTTTAACTAGACACATTGATCATTAATAGGGGGTTAGAAAGAGTCCAAACTAAGTCTCACTCTGGGACACAGACCAACTGTGCCTCTGGCCTCCTGCAGCGATGCTGGGTCCCCAAGTCTGGTCCTCTGTGAGGCAGGGGTTGAGCAGGGGCTTGTCCAGGAATGTGAGGGGCTGGGCCTCAGGGGAGGGGAAGAAGGTGGACATTGCGGGCATCTACCCCCCTGTGACCACCCCCTTCACTGCCACTGCAGAGGTGGACTATGGGAAACTGGAGGAGAATCTGCACAAACTGGGCACCCTCCCCTTCCGAGGTAAGCGGGGCTGTCCTCTGTGGGAGTTGGGGAGATGTGAGTGGCCCTATTCTCTTTAGCCAGAAAACAAGGGAAGGTACACAGGCTCTGTCAAGCTGTCCAGGGATAGTCTGGTACTCAGTGGGTCACTTTATTGTGGGAGAGGAACAGGTGGGACTGATCTGGAATCAGGAGACAGGCAGGAAGCTCCTTGCAGGCCTGTAACCTTAAGCCAGACCTCACCTGCTTCCATTTACCCGCTGTAAACGGCTAAAGTGCCTTTGTAGCTCCCAGAGTTATTCTGGGGTTGGACTAGATAATGGGTGTGAAAGTCCTTGTCAGCCTTGCAGATATGAGGACATCTGGCTGCAGTCACGTGGCAGCCCAGCCGCAGTCCCAGCTCCCTCAAAAGTTTTTTTGCATGTTCTCTTCTGGACAAAGACGCCTTGGCAGAATTAGTTTTCTCTGTTGTGGCTCCTGTGACCCCCATCTCTCTATATACATGGGTCTCCCCTGCTTTGAGGTTGGGGACCAGAAGATATTTGCGACACTCAACATTTAACAGAGTCCCTGGTACAATAAATGAAGGTAGAAGAAAATGGCAAGTCCTGCCTGCCCTGCTCCGCCCAGCGCGTTCCCATTCCTTACCAGGCAATCCCCTGAGGTAGTGCTCTCTATAGCACCATCCCACAGATGGGAACCTGGGGCTCAGAGTGACATGGTCACCACCCAAGGCCATTCAGCTAACACATAGCTGCACCTCCTCTGACTGCATGCCCATGCTCTGCTTCGCTCCCTCACTGACTCTCGTTATAAACCTTTCGGAGCTGCTAGACCACACTATTTCAACAGCACATCCGGTTGGCACTAGCTTTGGGAATGGTATGGTTCCTACTGAGGCAGTATCGTGTAGGCCGTGGACTCTGGTTTCAAATCACAGCTCTGGGCTGGGCACAGTGGCTCTCGCCTGTAATCCTAGCACTTTGGGAGACCAAGGTGAGCAGATCACGAGGTCAGGAATTCGAGACCAGCCTAGCCAACATGGTGAAACCCCGTCTCTACTAAAAATATAAAAGTTAGCTGGGTATGGGGGCAGGTGCTGGTAATCCCAGCTACTCAGAAGGCTGAGACAGGATAATCGCTTGAAACTGGGAGGCGGAGGTTACAGTGAGCCAAGATCACACCGTTGCACTCCAGCCTGGGTGACAGAGCAAGACTCCATCTCAAAAAAACAAACAAAATCAGGCCAGGCGTGGTGGCTCACACCTGTAATCCCAACACTTTGGGAGGCCAAGGCAGGTGGATCACCTGAGGTCAGGAGTTCGAGACCAGCCTGGCCAACGTGGTGAAACCCTGTTTCTAATACAAATAAAATTAGCCAGGTGTGGTGGTGGGCTCCTGTAACCACAGCTACTCGGGAGGCTGAGGCAGAAGAATAGTTTGAACCTGGGAGGCAGAGGTTGCAATGAATTGAGATGGCACCTCTGCACTCCAGCCTGGGAGACAGAGCAAGACTCTGTCTCAAAAAAATAATAATCAAATAACAGCTCTGGCACTGACTTACTGTGGGATGATCCCTATAGGACACATGGGAGTGATAATGCTCATATTATGGGATGATTGGACAAAAAATCTGAGAGAATGAAAGTGAAAGCATGCTGTAAACTATAGAGCCATATACATTGGAAGGTACTGATTCCGACGGCAATAATGATTAAAATGACAGTGTGATTGGCATTGTAGCAAAGCTGCTTTGTGACTGTGACCTGGCCTGATGGACACGTTGATCATTCATAGCTCAGTACTGAGGGAATGCACCCCTTCTTTGGGGATAATGAATGCCCTGTGGAGGCCCACATTGAGCAGGGACACACCGTCTAAGTTTCTGCTGGTGTTTGGCTTGTGGGGCCTGGAGGTTTGGTGAAGGCCTGGTTCTCTTGAAGTGAGAAGCATTTTGAGCCTCTAAGTGAAGCTCTTGCTTCAGCTTCAAGGTTGAAGGACGCTCTAGTTCAGAGTGGCGAGGGTGGACTTTGCATCTGTTTGCCTACCACCCAGAGAATCCACAAAGATCCCCAGACTCTTCTCTGGACCCTCCCTTCCATGCCATTCACCTACCCCTGCAGAGGACATGGGATGCCCAGGAGCACAGGCTTCCGTGGACTTGGCGGGCCGTGGGCTGCACATACCCACTTGTCTGTCTCCTTTACAACCCATGCAGTCTCCAACTCCCATCTGATCACTCATCCCCATTCCAGAGGGGCAGTGGGCTGTGGTAGGAAGAGCCTAGCATCTGGAGTTAGAGTTGTGGGCAAGAATCCTGCCAATTCTGCCAGTTACAGAGACCTTGGGGAAATCACTTAACCTTTCAAATCCGGTTTCCTCATTTTAGAATAGGAACTGAGTCTTTAGGCTCCAGGCCACAGGGTCAACATAATCCTCCCAAGGCACTGTCACAGAGAGCACAGAGGTAGAGGGTCCCGTTCCTGCTCCCAGGACGCAGCCAAAATGCCCAGGAAGGAAGATGCAAACAACTTTACCTCTGAAATCTGTGTTTCTCTTGCCTGTCCTGGCCACTGAGGTAGACTTTGCAGCCCAATACTCGGAGGCTCAGAGGAGGGAACATATCACATTGTAAGGGCCTTCTGCAGCCAGTTAAAGGTCCTCTAAAGAGAAGGTGGGGGCCAGGCACAGTGGCTCACTCCTGTAATCCCAGCACTTTGGGAGGCCAAGGCGGGAGGATCTCTTTCGGAGACAAGCCCGGGCAACATAGGGAGACCCTGTCTCTATTTTTTTTTCCTGAGGCAGAGTCTCGCTCTGTCACCCAGGCTGGAGTGTAGTGGCCTGATCTCAGCTCACTGCAACCTCCACCTCCTGGGTTCAAGTGATTCTCCTGTCTCAGCCACCTGAGTAGCTAGGATTACAGGCGCGTGCCACCATGCCTGGCTAATTTTTTCTATTTTTAATAGAGATGGGGTTTTGCCATGTTGGCCAGGCTAGTCTCGAACTCCTGACCTCAGTTGATTTGCCTGCCTCAGCCTCCCAAAGTGCTGGGATTACAGGCATGAGCCACCGCGCCCAGCCTGTCTCTATTAAAATAAATAAATAGGAGGTGGGAAGCTGCCCTGCATGAATCAGTGAAGTGTTAGGGATTCTTCTGGAAAGCACTGCCTGAAAAATAATGTAGCTCTTTTTCTTTTTTTTTTTTTTTTTTTGAGACAGAGTCTCACTCTGTTGCTCAGGCTGGTGTGCAGCAGTGCGATCTCAGCTCACTGCAACCTCCGCATCACAGGTTCAAGCAATTCTCCCTGCCTCAGCCTCCCAAGTAGCTGAGATTACAGGCACCTGCCACCATGCCCAGCTAGCTTTTGTATTTTTAGTAGAGACAGGGTTTCACCATGTTGGCCAGGCTAGTCTCGAACTCCTGACCTCAGGTGATCTGCCACCTCAGCCTCCCAAAGTGCTGGGATTACAGGCATAAGCCACCATGCCCAACCTCATTTTTTTTTTTTTTTTTGAGATGGGGGTCTCACTCTGTCACCCAGGCTGGAGTGCAGTAGAATGATCTTGGCTCACTGCAACTTCTGCCTCCTGGGACTAAAGCAATCCGCCCACCTCAGCCTCCTGAGTAGCTGGGACCAAAGGTGCACACCACCTTGCCTGGCTAACTGTTCATATTTTTGGTAGAGATGGGGTTTTGCTGTATTGTCCAGGCTGGTCTCGGATTCCTGAGCTCAAATGATCTGTCTGCTTCAGCCTCTCCAAGTGCTGGGATTATAGGCTTGAGCCACCATGCCCAGCCCTGTGTAGCCCTTTTTAAAAAATCTTTTTCGCATTGCTAATTTGCACTAATTGTTCAAATAAAGAGTATTCTTTTAAAATAAAAGTTATGACCAGAGTCTAGAGGAAGGAGTCATTGCAGAAGGGCTCTATGGCCCTGAACTCACAGCCATAAACACCCTCAAAGATGGACTTTGAATTGTTATTTCCAAATGAGGTTAGTGAC